TCTCTTTGTCAACTTCTTGTATAAATGCCTCTGCCTTCTTCCCTGATCACCTCTTTTGAACTCATCTGAAAGATCACTACATTGTCCACATTTAATTCTCTCTTGAAGACCTACATCTATTAGACAGTCTACAATTCTTAGGTGATCCGTATTTTATATATGCAACAGGGATAGATAGATAGATAGATAGATAGATAGATAGATAGATAGATCCCTACTTATCCTTCTTCCTCTAACTTCTGTTTATCTATCTGTCCTGAGAAAAATGCTTGTGCAAGAACTTTCCATTCCTGAATGCCTCGGAACGTGCCAGCATATTATGGGCATGTCTACACAGCAGGGGCTAAAACTGAAATAAGTTACACAACTTGAGCTACATCAATTGCGTAGATTAAGTCAAAATAGCATATTTCAGCTTTTTGGCACTGTCTACACAGTAGGAAGTCTGAGAAAGAGCACTCTTCTTCCAACTTCCCTTACTCCTCATAAAATGAGGGATACAGGAGTTGGGAGTAAAAAGTCCTCCAGCACGACATTATTTTGACATTATGATGTCAAAATAACTGCTTGTAGTGTAGACACGGACTATGTTATTTTCAAATAAAATCAGTTATTCCAAAATAACACTGCTGTGTAGACATACCTTATGAGTGCTAGGATAAATTAACTAATCAAAATTGGCTAAAATGTTTAAATGTGATATTCAAGTAGGTAGTGCCAATTGAGATGCCCAGATATAGATTTAGATTCCTACCTTTGGATACAAACATTTGAAGATTATGGCCTTAATTCCTAAATACAGATTTGGGATATGAATGGTTAATTGGCTACAGGTAAGCATCACCCATAATGGTGATGCTTACTAGGAAGGATTAACTTGTGGGGAGCTCAGCCTGCCATCATTTAATTGGTTAACAAGTTAAATTTAAGGATTAACCAGTAAATTAATTGAATGGGATTTTACATCCCTAATACAGACTTCGTAGCTCATCTGACAGGGTGGAAAAATATCCTTTGCAGTCAATTATGCTATCAAATATGAGCAAAATTGAAGAGCCAAACATTTATGTTTTTGTAGCAAATAGAATTCAGCCTATTTTCCATAATAAAATATTATGTAAAAGATGCTTTATTTGTGATAGCTGTTATTTCTCTCACTCCTGTTTTCAGGAACACTTTTTAAATTTCTTGGATGACATGCTATAACTTGTCATGCCAAGTTGGGTTAAATCATCCAGAAAGACATTTGCACATGGTTAATGAAACACCCTGCATCCACCAAGCAGCAGACAGGAAAGAAGAGCTAATTTAAAGAAACTTGCTTATAACCCTATCCCCTCCATAGAAGTAGAGAATATCACTGATGCTAGAGATTGGTTTAAAGGACCCCAGCTGGTATCCTCCAGAGTATTTGAGCCAGGACTGGCCATAAGGATCAAAAGAACTTGCATCTATACATCTACTCAGAATACAAAGATATTAAAAAACCAGCCACCAACCATATTATAAGTCTCAGAGTGACTAGTCTGTGTTTGTCCAAGTTAGTCTATAATGAGTGGCTTTGTAACACCTTTAGAGACAAACAAATATATAGTATCATGAGCTTTTGTGGGCACAACCCATTTCTTCAGAAGAGTAGTGGGTTGTGTTCATGAAAACGCATGATACTATAGATGGGTACGTCTACAGAGCAGAGTTACTTCGGAAATAACTGATGTCATTCTGAAATAACAGTGTGTGTGTACACTACAAGCCTTTATTTAATGTCGAGCTGGAGGACTTCTTACTCTGACTCGTGGGAACCCTCATTTCACAAGGAGTAAGGAAAGTCAGAGGAAGAGTGTTCTTCCTTTGACTTCTTGCTATGTAGACAGTGCCAAAAATTGAATTAAGCTATTTCAATTTAAGCTATGCAAATAACATAGCTAAGGTTGTATAGCTTAATTCGACTTTAGCCCTGCTGCGCAGATGCACACAACGATGCTACAGGACCACTCGTTTTTTTTAAAAAAAATCCCAATTTATTACGGGTCTGACAGTAAACAAACCAAAGTGTACTCATGAGGCCCAATCCTATAATCTTAATTCAGACAAAACTGACACTAACAATAATGGAGGCTTTGTTTGAATCTAGACTGCAAGTTCAGACTCCTCATTTTTTAGAATGCAATATCCACTTGTTTATAAATCTTTACTCTACAGGGGTATGTCTACACTACCCCCCTACTTCGAACTGGGGGGGGGTAATGTAGTCACACGGAGTTGCAAATGAAGCCCGGGATTTGAATTTCCCGGGCTTCAATTGCATAAAGCCGGCCGGCGCCATTTTTAAATGCCGGCTAGTTCGGACTGCGTGCCGCGCGGCTACACGCGGCACGCAGTCCGAACTAGCCGGCATTTAAAAATGGCGCCGGCCGGCTTTATGCAAATGAACCCCGGGAAATTCAAATCCCGGGCTTCATTTGCAACTCCGTGTGACTACATTACCCCCCCTAGTTCGAACTAGGGGGGTAGTGTAGACATACCCCAGTAGTGCTAGTTTTTAAATAGAATTTTAAATGGCAAAAGGATTTATTTATAAAAGGGAAGCAAACTCCTGAATGCACACACAACATACACAAAGGTAGTAAATAGGAACATCTTACATATACCAGTCCTGCTTAAGGGTAAAATTAAACAAACAAACAAGCAAAAAACCAACTTCCCCAAACATTTAGTGGTTACAGAAAATGCCAAATACGCCCTTTGTGTAAATTGTTGCCTTTCTCTCCATTCATTCACAAACCCTTGCAAGATCAGTTTATAACTTTGATAAATAGCTGTGTTTAAGTACAAGTAGGTTGTTTTTTAAAAATGACATCAAGCAAAAATAAAAGACAATCCTATGCAATGCAAAGGCTAACAAAGGGTATTTCTTTTCTAATAAAAGCTAAACCACAATGCAGCCTGGTCTATACTAGGCCAGGTAAGTCGGCTTAAGGTACGCCATCCAGCTATGCAAAATGCATAGCTGGATTCAGCTTACCTTGAGCAGAGCCACTGCGGTATCCACACTGTAGGAGGCTGATGCGAGCATATCCTCCTGACAGCTTCTTTTATGGCTTGCAGAACAAGGAGTACTGGATGCCCTTGGGGGTTGCCATCAGCGTTCGATTTAGGGGTATATACCAGACCCGCTAAATCGAACGCTAGAAGATTGACTTCTGGAAGATTCATCTTCTCTGTAGTGTAGACATGCCCTGTATTGCCACAATTTTGTCTTGCCACAATTTTGTCCGCATTTATCATGAATGCCAGAAGGTATTTTTCTCCATTTAAATTTATCATTGATAAATTATTAAAGCAAACACTGCATGATAAATTCTGTTTGTGAAACTGGGAGTAAATCTACTTTGAGAAAGTGAATGAGCTGAGTTTTCAGAAGTACTGACCAGCTACAATTTTCTTAGACCGCCTCCCCACCTCAAAGTTGTAGTTGCTCTGCACCTTTCAAGAACTGGCTCAGTGGGAGTTTCTTTTGGCTTCTATTGTCCAGGGAATCTGTTCTCCTACAAAAATTATGGATGATGAACATGGAAAACAACTACAAAAAAGAAGGCAGTTTCTACTACCTATAAGCTGATGATCACGACAAACGCTTTCATTTGTTAAAAATAATTTACTTTGTTTTCTTTTTCATTCCACTGCTTTGCAAGCTATTTCCAATTTCAGAAAAAAATAGTGTGATGTGCTTTTGTTAGGTGACATAGGTATAATAACTATGATATACTGATTTCTATAGAGGTAACTGTTTTCATTAATTACTAGAACCCCCTAAACCATATTCAGCAAATATGACAAAACCTGTTATCCTTTTAGTTATGTTATACTGCATGTGATCCCATCACTTCTACTCTTTTTTTCTTTGATTATAGATGTAATGTACATCAATAATTAGCAAATGTGAGAATTAGTTGGTATATATTTGTATCAATCTCTCTCTCTCTCTCACCACACGCACGCACACACACACTCTCACACAAAACGGAAGAATAGTAGTTCAAGCCCAATAAAGTTTTGGTCCGATGAAGAAATGCAGTTAGTGATTTAAGTGAATATCTTTCTTCTCCGAGCTGCCGGAGAAGCCTCTCTAGCTGATTTTGCATCCTACAGTGAAGCAGATAATGATCAGATAAAGTATTTCATGTCCTTTAGAAAAAACTGCCTTTTCAATAAATTTACACTAGGCAGTAATGAGCTATATTGTGTGGTGGTTAATCTGCTCTGAAAAAAGTTGGAAGAAATTTCTCTGCCCGGCTCTCAGGTATTAAGTCCGTACATCTTTTATGTTGACAGTTCAGCTCCAGGCTATAAAACAGAAGAACCTGTTCTACATCTACTGTTTAAAACAAGAGCAGAAAACCTAACCCTTCATCAATCTGCTGTCTTACTTTTACGACTTATCTGTGGCAAAAATGAATCATAAGAAAGATTTGTTCTGATTCCTCAGACAGATCCATCAACCTGCTGGTGCTTGTGAACCATACAATTCCTACAGAGACTAGTGGTAGTGGTAGACTTGCAGTATCAAATGTGTTAACATGTTGAACTATGGATATTCACTTCTGATTAATCTCAGTGAAAGTCTGGAGTAAACATGCCTAGAAAAAGTACATACACGCACAGATAAATTTTCATTTCTTTCACACCTCTACCTTCTCTCCATTGCACAGCATCTTTTATGAAGCTCTGTTAGGGCTAATGCAAATATAATAAGGCAGAGTGATTTAACTTTGAATATTATTCAGGTGAAATTTTGGTTCAATTCTTCTGGAATATAAAATGCATACAAGTCTGCAATCTCTTTCTTCAACTTGTTACTTGTAAGCCCTTTAAGAAATAATACAATCTTATCAAGTTCTGAGCCATAGTCTTACAAAAAACTCTAGGAAGATTTATAATCTTACATGTAAAATTCTGATCACAAGAGAAGACAGCTAGCAGATGAAGTATTTGCTCACCTGGCAGAAGCAGATCAACAGACTGAAGTCTACTTGTGATGGTGTGTAGGGTGAGGATAGCAAAGGAAAGCAAAGTCGGGAATGCTTGAAAAATAAAATATTTTTAGTTAACAAGTAGAAAAATAAAATGTTGGGGAAAGGGTCCATTTCATTTTTGAATCCCTCTCCCAAAATGGTCTCTGCTATTTGTATAAAACAACCTTTCTGAATGACCATCTCTAAGTGTAGGACAGCAGTGTCACAGAAATGCATAAGGCCACTAATTACAGACTATTGGCCAATCCTGTAGTCTCTACTCAGGAAAATCTCCCATTGAAGTCAATGGGTAAATTATTTTATGTTCAAATGGTAGTGGGAGTGTCACAGTGGTGATGCAAATAGCTCCAGACAATAGTGTGTTGGCTCTGTATATAGCATTCAGTACTCCATTTTGGTTATATCCTGGCTCACCATTGACAGCAGTTTCTAGATAGTAATTTACTAATATTCAAACCCAGAAATTATCTGCTAATGAGAGAGGTTAAAGGTGGTTCATTGTCTTTGCTTTAATGTGTGTGTAAGTGTGGGGGGCATATCTGAAAGGTGTAGAAAACAAACTTTATTATAGTTTAATGACATTTATCCCACAAAGACTAGAAAGAACTACAATCTATTGATTACTTAGTTGTACAGAGAGTAAAACAATTATATAAGCTAAGACAAAAAAATGCTCATGCAAAGCATTTGTAGGTTTTTTTGACCTGATATCAAATTCATTTAATCTACTTTATGAAATTGCTTGAGGAAACACTCATCTGTTTTCTGAAAGATTGGCTTGGGGATTACTGGAGCTGTATAATTGTTCAAATGATCAGACTTTAAAGGAAACACTTTGTTTTACCTTAATCTTACTGAAACGGGCAATGAATTTCAGAAATAGATTGCGGTCTAAAAGTCCTGCCAAAAAAAAATGTCTAGCTGAGAGCAACTGTAGCTTCTTTTTAATTTTTTTTTATTTTGAACAATCTCATTTTCTTATTTTCAATCTTTATTCAACATCTGTTGTTCTCCCTCCTCTGTAACATAATTATGCAGAATTCCAGTGTAAAACAGGTTGAGTAGTTAATAGCAGAGAGCTTAAACATTTTTTCGCACTGTTGCCCTGCAGATGTTTCTTTCTTTCTATCTTTTTTCTTTCTTGGCTTCTTGTTTAATTTGTGTATTTCTATCCTGTTCTTAAAGTGTGCTCTCACAACATATGGAAGCACCTGAAAGTAAGACTGGCATATGCGCATGTTTACAAGACTACTATTATGATATTTAGCACATCAAAGAGCAGAGTGAAAGGCACAGTATTTGTTTTGTTGAAGCAAAACCAATTAATATATGAGTCATCTTGTTACCACACTCAAAATTGATACTCCACTGAGTTTTCCAGTGCTTTTAAAAAGATTCTTTATGTAGGTCCAGTCTTTTAGTATTCATAAATATTCTCTTTTTCTCCAAACAGGCTTATTTTTCCTTCATAAATTTGACATAAAACCACTATATATCTTAAAAGTAGTTGTGCTTCTATGATAAGTACTTTTCATTTTATAATATTTCATGTCAGTAAATAGCACTTGACATTCAACTTAAGAAAAAGGTGGAAAATGTTACACTGACAAAAATTTGCTCTGTCTAAAGGTATCCTGGAAACACACAGTTCCTCCATACAAACAGAAAGTGATATAATATACTTGGTTTTCCATGAATTTTTAAAGAGATCATTTATTAGGATGAATAAGGAGTACTAATTTCAATGCATAAGTGAAAAATATGTTGTGACAAGTAGGAGCTAGGAAAAACAACAAAATAGTCTGATAATCTTCAATTTATCCACATTAGAATAAAAGGGTAAAAATAATAAAGGAGCAATTGAAGTCATATTCAAAAAAAGATAGAAATAGTTAGAAGAGCTCTCATCTTACATATGATAGATCACAAGTGAATAAAACACAGAAAGTTCTGAGAAAACATATGCTAGAACAATTCAGTACGCCTGTCTTCACGTCTTAGTAAATACCTCAACTAATTTTATGCAGTGAACGCTATATTATTGTCAACAAGATGGATCCAAATTATGCTTAATAATTTAAAATACAATATTTTATCTTCGGGGGTTTGAATTAATAGTTCAAGTTAAGTTTGTGCTTTCAGGACTCAAAAAAGCTTTTTATGGTGTAATAACTTTTGGTTTTTTATATAACAGTTTTTGTATAGTATGTGTGGACACCTTTGTGTTTTCCCTCCATGCTTCTTGGCAGGTTGTTATACAAAATGTTGATTTTAATCTTTTTTCTAGTTTGCTTTGTAGTGTGCAATTTTTATGCCTATGTTGAGTTCCTCTGACAGTTTATTTTACAGTGGAAAGAGATACTATTCTTTATTAATACTGTAGAACAGAATATCATTCTGATACTATTCTGGGTTTTTTTTCACAATCACCTTTTAATTTTTATTTTTAGTGTTTTAATGCTGAAGACAAGACTTAACTTACTAGGATTCCTAGTTAGCATTTGCTCTTTAAATAAGGTCATAAAATAGTATGCAGCTCCTAACCTTCAGGCTTTTCAGTAAAAGAGAAATGACATTCCACTAGCAGAGTCAGATGTAGATAAATAAAAGAATGGTTTTGAACTAAATATAAACAGAAAATATTTCAGAAATATGTTTTATTTGGGCAAAATTACATTTAGGAGACAGAGTTACAGATTATCAGATTATTCCTTTTTTTTTTTTGTTCTGCTGAAAGATGTCTTTTTTTCTCCCAAGCAGAAGGTTAAAAATCATTTTAAAATAAAAACCTCAGATTTTAAAACTTTTTGTGATAAGGTAAGAAGAGGCATTTGATATTTTTAAATGGCACAAAGTGCTAGAAGCTCTAACGTGAAAGATGTTGTGTGTAGTTCTTGTAAATGTGGCCTGCAAAATTAGCCCTAAATATGTGCATATTTAACTGGAAATGTATTTTGTAATGTAAAATTTTACTTTGGAAAAAATACTATTTCCTTGCAGAGGTTCTTCAGCATATACTTGTGACAAATCTCTTTATAACTTCGCTTTTAAATTACTGCAGTTCTGAAAAAAAAAACGTTTGTTGCAAACCATCCTCACCTGCTCTCAACAAAAGAATCAAAGCAGACGAGGTAGTTTGGAAATAGAGAGAAAATGCCACAAAATGTTAAAAGAAACTCAAATGTAATACCCCACATCTAGCATGTCCTGCAACTACCTGAGAAGACTGTGAAAGTAGACTAGTTTGTACTAACTGCCACATATCGGTATATTGTCAACTATTGTGCACTCATATGCATAAAAAACTGGGAGTCTTGGAACTGATCCTGCTGGGCTGTAAGTTGCAGCAAGACTTCTGAACTTAACAGTGTGTACAAAAACGACAACATTTTCAATACAAATACAAGAAACTTTTATATGAGATTGCTATAGCTGTGATTTTTTATGGTAGTCTTTCTGCCACGTTAATACAGTTTGCTTGGGTGAAAAATAAATGCTTACTGTATTGTAGCACTGCAAATTAACCACTACTCACTTGCTTCAAAACACCTTTTCACCACACCATACAATATCTTAGGTTTCAGTGTTTCCTGAAGGGAATTCTACAGAATTAAATAGATTTTGACAGGGAATTATCTTGAGATTTAATTTAATTTTTCATGACATTTAGCCTATAACTCACTATGTTGATCTGAAAAAAGATGCAGAAAAATATATTATATGGTTATCAAAATCATGATCAAAGAAGAGAAGAATGATATACAATACCATTACAGACACATCTGCTTCATATTTGAGTACTTTGCATAACAGATTATGTCATTTATTTAAAAAAGAAACTACAAAATAAGCCATATATATAATCATCATCGTTGAATATGGCTACAAAAGATGAGAAAATAACTTAAATCTTTTCCTTTCAACGTTAAAATAAAATGGCACAGTGACAGTAACACTGGATTGCGAATAATCACCTTGTCTTCTCAGATTTTATATATGAATTCAGAGGACAGTTATTTCTGAGCTAAAAAAGAAAACCTTACATATAAATGTAAACAAGATTTAGGGTTTTTTTTCTTTCACCAAACATATAGATCTTGTAAGTGATACCCATATGTAATCCAGCTATGTGCATTACAGTGCAACATGATCTTCTGAGTTCCACCAAGACATGATAATTGTCAGATGAAATTACCACACTTTTTTTTTCACGTAAAGATTTTGCTGGGTTTTTTTTAAATGACATCACCAATTTGACAAGACTGAAATCAGACTTCCCAGTATTTGTGAGTATGCATACACATTGCCAACCTCCCAGTCTGTTCCATTCTTGTGAGAAGTTTAAGAAGATCTAAGACAATGATTTCCATCCTTCTGTGCTGAAGGCTCTATGTGTTGTAGATTAGCAGATGGCCACTCAGCATGCCCCTATCACTATATCCTCCTGCCACAGATACAACTAACTTTTCTCTCCTTCTTTTCTGTATTCTCTTTTCCTACTTGTCATTTTCTTCCTCCCATTATTTTCTGTTCTTATTCTTTATAACATTTCTACATGTTTTGTCTGATTTGCCTCCTTATTCCCAATCTCCTAAGGCTTGATAGGTCTGAGTGCTCTCCCAATTCCTTTATTCATACACAGACTATATGCTGCTGGGAGAGCAGTATCTATCTGTGCAACAGGGGTACAAAAAAAAGTTTGATTGGTGGGAGCTGCTTGAGTCTTCAATTTTGTATACATGCTATTGCAATCAGCTATTACAATCAACTACACTAAGGGTCAATGCAATGAGGATTCTGGCTTTCAGAGAATGACCTGTTTCTTTTCCCAAAGACAAAGCATATGCTTGCAATGTGTGCATGTGAATTTACAAATCTATGGCTTTTCAAAACCATAGTGATCACACTTATCTACTTTTTTGCCATGGGCCCACTTAACTAATCTGGTTCTGCTCACCTATAGCTTGTAAACACAGCTGTAAAACTTGGGTTCTTATAGGTTTCAATATCTTTCCTGCCTAAATGAACAAAAAGAGAGCACTAAGCAA